TTCTCGTCTTTCATGTATTGCTATTTCGCTTCAAATTACGTAAAATAACGCTGGAAGAAAAAATACTAAAAGATTATTAAATTCCAACTTAATGGAGTCTTCTTGAAAAAAAAAAAAGCAGTTCTCCGTATGGGAAATTTGATAGATTAGCCAATGGAAAGACCTTAACAGATAAAAAGTTCATCGTTTCATTTTTCGACATTATTTATCTTCATTTGATTTGTTTTTTTAACCAATATTATGCCTTATCTTTTTGCACTCTTTGTTTTCTGCCACTTCAATAACACTGTTACTTTTGATAATGATATGAGTTGATGATAATTTAGCAATCAAATAACATCTTTTGAATCAAATTTCAATTTATTTAACTTTTTCCATTCCTTAATCAATGCTTACATTATGCTAATTATTGATCTAATAATAAATGATCATATAGTTAATCTCAAATTAATGGTTTACGAACAAGAAACTTTGATAAATTATCGTACAACGCAACGAATTTCACTTATATTTGTAATTGATTTAAAAAATAATGCTACAAGCAAACTTTCTTTCGTATGTCTTCAATAAATAATTTCTTAAACATAACATTCCAACAATAAATTGTAATTTAAACAGTAAAGGCATGGAGTAAGTGGTTTATTACAATCGATCAAAAAAGTTTCCAGTTCGATTGTAATTATTCTTTAACATTTCAAATTCTTCTTTATTTTCTCTTTTTACAATGAATTAGAGTTTTTTTTTTTGTCTTTATTAATTTTGATACTCGTTTTGCTCTCAGATCAATTTTAATTTTAGTTCATTTTACTCAGTCAGTTTTCCCACGCCAATTTTAGTTTTAATTTTAGTACAGAAAGAAATGTGATAGGTATGAGAAACGAAAACATTTTTTAAATCCTAAACTTCTGGCTCTATAATAAACTATTTTTTATTAAATCAGAATCATTTAAATTTAAGCGTATAACTTCAGAAAAATTGATTTCGTTATTTCTAATACAAGAAATTGCCGTTAAAATTCTAGGCAATGTGAAGTAGAGTAAAATTGACAGCCTCTAAAACCGGAACTATTGGAATAGTAATTTCAAGTCATCAAGGTCAAATGAACTTCAGAAGTAGAAACAAATATTTGAACGGTTTGAACATCTCTCGGAAGCAGCAGTATAAAAGAATTGCAAATAAAAAAAATGAAAGGAAAAAAGAATAACATAAAGAAGGTACGTTCGGATTCAAATCATTTGAATACGGACACTGTTACAGTTAAATAGAGTTAAATGAATAATCGCTCATCTGTTGCAATTATATTTCTCAGCTAATCGTTTCTTTGCTGCAAAGATTTTAATTTTAATTATGTGATCAAAAAAAATTATTATCTTCATTAAAGCAGTGGCTAGAGAGCAGTTACTATCGTCATAGATGATTTGATTTTCAAAATTAGTACTGTTTACTTTAACTTGTCAATAATGCAACTTCTTTAATAATATTATAATACTAACAGAACAGTAGCAGTAATATTTTCAAATGTAATCATAACTGAAACAGATAAGAATTTAAATAGTAATAATATAATTTAGATGAAGATAAACATTGCATACGTTCTCTTTTCCGCATATCATATTATATTAACTAATAATTGCGGATAACATCAACCATTTCTCAATTATCGAATAAGTTCTTACATGTATTAATTGCTACATATATATTAATAAAAAACTTAAAGTTCAAAAGATTTAATAAAATTATCGTCAAAAAATGTTGTTGCCAATTTCAAAGAAGTGGAATAAATAAGACGGCTCTATTTTCTGAAGATTAGAATATTATAATATACGCTGTTATTACGACTAATTATTATTACAAATGAAATGAACATAAATTTTGATGCATATAAAGTCAAAATATTTTTGAATGAGGATTTCAAGTTTTATGGAGGAAAATAATAAAAAAAAAAAAGAAAAAATGGAATTTTGGGGCATTTGACAAAACGAATGAACCGATTTGATATCACTAAAAATCATTTCTATCTCATAAAAATTTCTCTCCAAATGAAATTAAAAAATGAGCAAAATCAAAACTGCTTCTGAGAAAATCAGAAATCGATAAACGTACTAATATCAACAAGTAATTTAAAGAAATTAATTTCTTGAATGATGAAATTTGAATAGGATCACTGATGAATATTTTCTTGTAAATATAGAAAGTATTCTTTTCTTTCTCTCGCACTCACTCTCTCTCTTTTCTAACTCTTCCACTCCAATTCTTTCTTCATTTCATTCCACTTTATCAGGATATCACCATCAGCACTGCATGGTACCATCCTTCTCATTTATCCTCTCTTCGTGATGAAATCGAAAATTATCACGTATGTTTTTTTCGTAATAATTTCTTACATTGATGCTTAAATGTTATTTTCGTCTTTTTATTATTAGCTACATTACCATCAGAATGAAAATAAAGTGATATGAAACACGGGAAGACAATACGACAATGATTAAGCCTTATCATTAAATGTAGCAGTCTATGATTAAAGCTTTATTATGCATTATTAATTAGACATAACAGTATGTATATTATGTGTATATTAAAGCTAACAAATAAAGACAAATCTGTATAGCTCACCTAAAAATATGTAAATGACTAAAAGACTGAAAAAATCTTTTATGTCAGAAAAAAATTTGAAAAAATTTTAATAATATTGTAATTATCAGATAAACCATAATTTAGAGTGTTCATAATGAATATTTAATCACTATTAATTCAGTTGACAAAAAAAGAGGTGATGAAGAAAGAAATTCTCGACCAGTGCGAATAGAAAAGAAAATTAAAAAACGAAGCAGCAAAAGGAAACAGAAATGAAATTGAAGATTTATCAGCTACTGATGACAGTTACAACATTTAATTAATTTCTCTTAAAACATGAAATGAAAGCTTTTGCAGAGATAATTTGATAGTGCAAATTGTTACCTAAAAGAATGTTAAAAAAGCATTTTTTATGATCAAAACCTTTCAACTGATGATCAAATTTGTTTGTACATTGTCGCAGATAACAAATCCTTTATTTCACTCTCAACAAATATTTTAACAAACTGAAATTTCTTGGAAATATTATTGAGTCAATGAAAAATGAAAAATTTACAAAAAAAAAAAAATTTGCAATTTACAAAGAAAAGATGAACAGCAAATTGCTACTAAAATTTACCATTTCAAAATAAAATTTATTTAAATTGTAATAAAATTTATGAAAGATTAGGAGATAACAATAAGTTAAAAGATTCAAACAGTAAGCTTCATAAAAGTGTTACATTAAAATATCATATGGTATCAATTCAACTTTTATCAACCATAGTGGCGCTATACTAACAAACAATACCAATATGGAAATTTTAATCGAGAAAAAATTAAAAGAAATGTGAAATTAATAATAATCATGATCAAAGTGAAAAGTTAAAAATTAAAATAACTGAGACTTCATAAGCATATGTTTATCTTTGATACGGTTAAACAGACAAATGTTTTTATGGAGATTGTTTCTATGGAGATTTATGGGAAAAAATCATGCAAAAAAAAAAAAAAAACAAATCCTGTCGTATGCAATAAATCATCCTCGAACAACAAAATAAGTGAGGTTCGTCGCATTTCCTATTTCTAATTTTCTTTTCCTTCACTTCTAGTCTATTTGTATTTATTTCTCCTTAAATGATCATCAGAAATATCATTTTGATTTTCTGTTTAAACAAAAATTCCTTGTCTTCCTCAGACTTCACGTTTACCAGATGTTACATCTGTTTAATCTGGTTTTCTCATTAAATTTTACAAATCTGGTACCCAAACTTCATTGCAAACTTACAAATTTAATCAGACAGACTGTTTTAAATAGAATACAAATTAAGATATTGAATTAACTGCTGTTATAATAGAGATTATGTTTACCTTAAATCAAATAATGAATGAGTGGGGAATC